GCACAAGTTCGCGGAGGCTTCATATGAAAAAAATGAATAGCAGTAAGTAGGAATGGCTTGGCCTTCAAAGTACCTGAGCACATTCAGAAAGGTATGGCACCGGAGATGGCCAAACAGGTTTCCAGCCTAATGAGTCACCTCGTTCATGAAGTCAGTCCTGACGGCACTTTGCCTTCCTGATAGTGCTGCAGGTCACAGAGGAACTGGCAACTCAACAAGCAGAGACCTGACTTCTGGGTGGACATGCGTGCCTTGCAGAACATGGTGAAGGCCTTAATATTATGCATTTTTTAAAATTGTCTCTTAGACTGAGGTGGATTCAGTCCCAGATGTGCTGCATATTAAAGGCTGAATCCACAAATGTCACTTATGAGCTGCACCTATGAACGCCCTCTTTTCCAAAGACCTTGATCACAAACAAGGAAGCTTCATTTTCTTCAATAAAATTTGACTATTTAAGTACAAACACGTGGGGAGTAAGACCACAGGGAGTTACAAAAATGAGTAAGATAGGGCCAGGGATTTAGCTCAATGGTTCTGCCACCTGCCCCGCAAGCGCAAGGACCTGAGTTTGATCCCCAGTACCAAAAAATAAATGAGTAAGATGAAGTCTTAGCCCTTGGGGATTTGGCAGTCTAGAAGGAAGAACACTATGTCAAGGAGTCTAACAATGTTTTAAAGTCTACAATGCTCAGGCATTGTGTTAGGCACTCAGCACACATCTAAAGGCAAGTCAAGGTCCGAAGTCCAGAGTTCAGAGAAGTTTCGGAGCTTTCTTGAGGAAGTGACACTGGAGCTGGTATTTTAAGAACAGGTATGATTTTATTTAACAGACTGAACTGGTGAAAGCAATTGACAGAGACGATGTTTAACCAAAGCCCAAGAGCCAAGAAAGTAGGAGCTGTCCTCTAGAAATGAGGTCTACTCCACTCAGTTCTGCATATCTTGCTTCCTAAAATGCAACTGCTTGCAAGAACCTCCTACTCAATCTTCCTGCCTCCTTTATCTTCCTCACCCATTCTACAAACCACTGTCAAATTCATTTTCCTAAATCCAATATTTCATTAAATCACAACTCTCCCAAGAAAGAAGGACCATAGTGCTGGGCATGGTGGTACATTTCTGTAATCGCAGCACTTGGCTGAAGCAAGAGGATCATTGTGAATTCAAAGCCAACATGGGCTACATAGTGAGTTCAAGACCAGCCTGAACTACATACTGTAGCAAGAATCTGTCTCAAAACAACAATAATAACAACAACAACAACAACAACAGGCAGGGAGAGAGGTTGGGAAAGAGAAGAGAGCTTTTAACAAACTCTACTGCTACAGAATAGAGTCCAAACTCCTTATCATGCAAAGCTTTGAGCATCTGACAGGGTTGGCGGTTGCATTTCTAGGTTCATCTGCCATTCTGTCCCCAAAGTACCTCTGCTTTCTGTATCCCAGACTTCCTATGACACATACTTTATTCACCTGTGCCTTTATTCCTCCTGCTTAAAATTGTGAAATTCCTTTTAAATGAAACCTTCCCTAAGACACTCCTAACCACTTGACCAGAATTAAGTGTTTTTTCCCCAGTGGCCACACGGTACATCCTGACACTACTCTAGCCCTTGTCTCACGCAATCTTCCTCTGAGCTTGGACTTGAAATCAGATGGCCTGGATTCAGACTTCAGCTCTGCCATTCAAGTGATGCGTGGATTAGAGAATCCCTGATCTCTCTGAGGCTCTGCTTCCTCATTAGTAAAAATGGGACACTTACCATCTATCTCACACAACTGAGTAGATAATGTACAAGGACATCTTTGTAAATGGTTACATACATAACATGCTTATATTTAATTTCAAACTTGTAAGGTAAGATTTCTATTCCACTAGAACGTAAGGCCCCAATCAGGGAACAGGGATTTGAAAAAGAAAATCTTTTATTTTACAACAGTACTTATGGAAGAAGTGCAGAGGTATATATAATTCTCATATACCTTTTACCCAACTACCCTTACTGCTAACTCCTAAATAACCATGGTATATTTATCAAAACTAAAAACATTGATATTGGTGTAATACATTGGTTAAATTACAGAATTTATTCTCATTTTTATCCGTGTTTCAACTAATGTCCTTTTTCTTTTCTCCTCTAGGATCTAATCCAGAATCCCACACGACATTTAATCGATAATGTCTTTTAGTCTTCTCCAATCTATGCCTGTTCCTCAGTTGTTGTCTTTTTCATGACCTTGACACTTTTGAAGAGCCCAGTTCAGGTATTTTCGTGGAAGTAACAAAACTCAAGGTGGATTTTCCTGGTATTTTCTTATGCTTATAGTGAGGTTATAGATTTGGGAGACTCCTACAGAGGTGAAATGCCCCTTTCATTGCCCACAAGGGGTATATCATTATTACTTATTACTGATACGGGATTTTTTTGACAGGTTCATATCCAGTCTCTAAAATAGTAGGCTCATAATGGTAATCAATAAATCTCAATAAATTCTTTTACCTATTCTGTCTCTTCCACTAAACCTTAAACTCCCTATACTGCAAGAAGCATATTGTATACATCTTCATAATTTCTGGATGCCTAGTTCTCATATTTAGTTTCAGCAAATGTTTAAGAATTAAGGATCTGGGGGGTGTGCTCAGTGGTAGAACTCATGCTTAGCATGTGAGAGGCCCTTGGTTCCATGCCCACAGCCCCTCCACCCCCCAAAAAAGTTTAGGAATTGAAAGTTAGAGTCAGGTTGTAGTTTCAGGCAAAATCAGGTTTATTTGATAGTCATTAGGAAACCAGTAACTGGTTTTAAGCAGCTCAGTTAAATAGCATAAGACTTAGTAAGTATCTGAAATGAACAGACATTTCTTAGATGAAGAATTACAAATAGCTAATAAATACATGAAAATGTTCAACATCGCTGGCTATTTGAGAAATGCAAATGAAAACAACACTGAGATTCCATCTCACTCCAAAAAACAATGGCTACCATCAAGAAATCAACAAATAACAAACGCTGTTGAGCCTGTGAGAAGAAAGGAACCCTTCTCTATTGTTGGTGGGACTGTAAACTGATAGGACCACTATGGAAATCAGTATGGGGATCCCTCAAAAAACTAAAAGTAGAAAATCCATTGGACTCAACTAACTCTTTTCTAGGTATCTTCCCAAGAGTTATAGACATCGTACAACAGTGATGTATGCATACCTATATTATAGTAGTGCAATTCATAATAGCTAAATTTTGGAAATGGCTTATATGTCCATCAACAAATGAATGGATAGAGAAAAATGTGGTGTTTATATACAATGGAGCACTACTCTACCATAAAGCAGGATCAACTTGAGTCATTTGTAGGAAAATGAGTGCACTTTGAGACCATGTTAAATGAAGTAACTCAGGCACACAAGCTTAAATACCACACGGTTTTTCTTATATGAAAAACTCAATATATATAAAGTACAAAATAAAAGACAGATAAGAAAAAAGAAAAAAAAGTTATTGTAATTCAATGCAGACAATGTATCTAGGTGTACCTTGACTTAGTAAATTGTCATATATGTTCTATATGTTCTTTGGCCTATTACTCTCATTTTTAATCTGTATATATGATAATTAACTTTATAAGGTCTTATAAGATAAGTAAATGAATCTGATGCTAGAAAAATAAAAGGCAGTAGAAGAAAAAGAAGGGAATTGAAATGTGTTATGTACATATACCAGTCCCCTACAGTGAACGTTAATTATTACGTACTGCAAAAATGTACTAATAAAAGTAAAAAATAAAACAAATTAAACTTCTAAAATACAAAAAATAGAATTACTAAGTATCTGTGATGTACTGGCCTTCGTTAAGAGCCAAATGCCAGCATTTTAGTGGGAGAGCAGTGGTGTGAAGGACTCAGACATTGGGCAGCGAGGTTTGGGTCTGAGCCTGGATGCTGCTGATTTGTTAATACCATTCTAAGAAAGGGAAATCAGAGAAAGAAGTTTGGGGTAGAAGATAATCACACTTTGGATGTGTTGAATTTGTAGAAAAACCCTATGAAGATTTCTGAGTCAGTAGTAAATGGTGGGCAAAGGATGGGTTGGCCCAGAGACAGATTTGAAGCCATTACTAGTGTACTGATAGCTCAAGCACAGGAAGATAAAACAGAAACGTTGTAACGCCAGAGAAGTGAATATGAGACTCAAGGAAATTTTGCGAAGGAGTAAGGAAAGACACTGAGACATATAAAGGTAACATTAGGAAGCTGTACAAGGGAAATTTCAAGAACTGACTGGGTAGCTGACCATACCAACTGAAAGGAAGAAGTGAGTACTGTACTTAACTACTGTACGTAGGCGATCCCAGATGATCGGGAAAAATTGGGGGAATAAGTGTGAAGTAAAACGATGGGGTGATTAAATCAAACTTTCCTTTCAGAAGGCTAACCATGAGCAGAAGGGCATAGTGTAACAGAATGGTTAAAGACGGGTTTATATCAATTGTTTTTTGTTTTGGGTGTTTTTTTGCGGGGGGGGGGCGTGCTATGTTCAGGCTGGTCCTGAAATTTCCTAATTTAGGTAATCTCACATGGAGCACCACTTAGCCTCTCAAGCCATTAAATTTCCTTGTAAACATAACTGGTATATCTAACCGATTCTACAAGTTCAGGAGCCCGCTTCCCCGTCACAAATACCTTACTCACATTCCTACCTATTCCCAATGCTTCCTAGAGCCAACACAGTTGCTGAACCAAGTGTAAAGTGTGGCCAATAATATACGCGGACACGACTGGGCTCATACTGCTCACCCACCACTGTGCCGTGTCACCACCTCGGGAAGGAACCATGACTGCCCCCATTCCACAGACGAGGAGTCGGGGGGGGGGGGATCATGAACAGAAATGAGCCCAAAGTCCCCAACCAGTGGGTTGCAGAGATTTTTTTTTTCTTCTCAAAAGCTTTGGAACGACAAAGCACGCCCCCGTGGTGCAACAGGTGCTAGATCCAAGAACTCACAGCAAAGGGTAAGAAATGGAGAGGGAAAAGAACAGTCCCGTGCTTCAGGTCCCCTTGATCTTCCCCGCCGCCTCTCCCGACCCTGCCCGGAGGCCAGTGGCGCAGTGCGCCTGCTCCGAGCCTGACTTCCGTCCTGCGGGGGCCCGAGCTTTGACAAGACGCACACTGAGTGACTGTAGCGCGCGTGCTGATGACGAAGTCGGAAGTTCTTTTGCCAGAGGCGGTGCCAGAGCCCAGAAGGGCTCGGAATTGCGGAAGTTTTATGAAGAGGGTCCCACGGCTGTTGTAGTGCAGTTTTGTTTCGCGAGTTCCGTTACGGAGGTGGTTGCTTGCGGTTTGACAGACACCAGTCTCCGGAGGTTTGCAGCGGCTACACTGGAAGCGATTCGACGTCGCTGCTGTTGGTTCTCCTCGGCCCTCGTTCGTCCCCAGAGAACCGCCTCGGATTTCCGCCATGGCATCCACTGGGTCCAATCTCCAGGTATCGCTACACGTCTCCTGCCCCTGTGGAAAGCCTGAGCCGAGGGGAGGCGCGAGAACTGGGGTGGGGGCGGGGAGAAGGAGGAAGCGGCCGCGCCCCTGGCTCGGGCTGAGAACTCCAGGGCCCGGGCGAGGCCGCAGGTGGGAGGGTGGGCGCCTTCCCATTGGAGAGTCTCTTGGGCTCAACTCCTGGCGGCTCCCGAGCGGCTGGCTGAGGCCCTTGACGTTGTTGGGGCTTTAAAAAACAATAGAACAGCGAAGCTCAAACCGAACTGAGTAGACCTTTCCAGTCGATCTAGAAAAAAAGAAAAACCGTAATTTTTGCATAACAGTAGGGCAGTTAAAAATAGGGCAGTCGTAGTTCTCTCTTAGTGTCTCAAGTTTATATAGCAAAGGCTTTCTTTTCGAGCTGTCAGATGACCAGAAATATAAGAGCATTGGAATCTGAGATTAGAGTCAGCCTATGTACAATCTGCGTAAATTCATTGAGCATATGTGTTTGTGTGCACTCCCAAGTTGTAGTAAGATCGAGTTATATTTTTAAACTGCTTTCTAGCTCCACTTCCCCTTTCTCATCTCAAGGAGTACAGTGTTTTTATACATAAATCATGGAATTCTAAAATTATAAACTTATCATTAGTCCTTTGTGGAACAGAATTCATTGAGAATACAAATTTATGTGGCAGGTCTTTTTACCCTCAGTGGGTCTCGGCCTCCAGTAGGGTTTAGAATGTGTCTTGCCCTCCAGAACTTACAGCCCAGGAAGTCAGTTTGGGGCAAAAGAACAGCATGGATCCCTACATTGAATTCTTACTTTCCACTTCCGGTAGTTTATGAAACACGTATTTATTGAGTGTCTGATACAGGTACCAAAGACAGTGGAAGACCTCCTTGACCCAGGATAATTAGTCCAAAAGAAAGACCCCTCATGTTAGAACCATTTAAACAGATCAGGTTTTCATAGAGTGAAAGAAGAGGCTTGTTTGGGGCTCTTATCTTGAAAATAGACCTAAAAGATTATGACAGTAAATGTTTTATATCTTTCACAAAATAATAAAACTGGGGCCGGGAATTTAGCTCAGTGGTGCCACCGCCTGCCTCAACGCAAGGTCCTGAGTTCGATCCCCGGTACCAAAAATAATAATAATAATAAAACTATAGCTATGACTCATGTCTTAGAATAAAGGTGAAGTTTCTTTTGATATGTATATGTATCGTTTCCAACATGATTGTGTTAAACCAAGACACAACAGTCTTCAGTTAATCTTAAGACTTTTTGTAGCACCATTCAGGAAGGGTTTTTTGGATAAACGTATCTTGAAAAATTATTTGTTAATTGGTAAAGGTATTGTTTTGACTAAAAGTATTTCTTTGAGTATGAAAGGTGATTTCTTTTGACAATACTCATCTTGTCATTATTTTTTTGATTTTGTTCAGCTTTCCAGTTGTCAGAGACTTTGTATGATTTGGCCATTCTACAGCATAATTTTCATTCATTTACTGCTACCTTTCATCTACAAGATTTGCAGTTTTGTTCTATAACCAAAATGCATTGTATTTGAATTGGACTGTTGAGTGGTTCTTCAGGGATTCATCAGCTAGAGATTGAACAATGTTAAAGACATAAGGAGGAGGAATGTTGAGTTATAATTTTATTAGTGGTATAATTTTATTAGTTCAGGTGTACTTTCTCATTAAGCTGTTTCAACCTTCTAACCTAAGAAATTTGGGTGGAGAATGGTCATATGAGTAACGTTCCCACTGAACAAAGCAAAATTCTCTGTAGCCAGATGCTTGGAATCTACGGGAGAATACAAATAGCAAAAAAAGTCCGAATTATGAGGTAATTTCATAAATGCCATAACAGAATTAGAGGTTAGTGTAGGTGTAAAAAATAAGAACAAATAAGAAATGCTTCCAGAGGAGGTGGTGTGCTTTCAGATTGAGCACTAATTCTAATTGCTCAGTGTTTGATGTGATCTCATTTAATCCTCAGAACTACTCTTCAAGGTAAATATTATTCCAATTTCAAGGTATTAGAAACCTAAGCTTATTTAGGTTAGGTTATAGTGTGACCAACGTCATAGTTAATTACTACTGGTAACTTTGAATCCAGATCTATCTGCTTACAAGTCTGTTTTTTTCGCTATAAATTCTTCCTCCTTGAACAGAAAACTTGAATGCTCCATCGGCAGAGAAAAACAATTTATACCTCAGTGCAGAAGTAATAAACCTTTGCAGAGTGTTGGGAGAAACTTAAAGTATTACAGTATGAAGTAGAACTCAAAATTTACTTAGTCCTAAATATTTAATTATCCCTTATGTCAGGTACTTGTACTATCATGATGAATCCTGAGAAGTCATGTTATGGTTTGTATAACATACCATGACATATATGTAATATATGTCTGTGTGTATCATTCATAACCTCAGATGGCTTATGTTCTGTGTTACAACAGACATATAAAGTGACTGGCAGAATACAGTGTGATCCTTGAAATTATGTACAGGAGGAAGTGGAAATCTATAGGTAGTGTAGGTCTAGGCTATCCCCTAGGGTATTGAGGAGGACTTTGTAGCAAGAGGACCAAGAACTTCAGTGAGTCCCTGAGAAGCTGGAGTTTTACTGGGAGACAGTGGCGTAGGGTCTTCCAGGGAGCAAGTACACTGTACATGTACACAGGCATGCCCCATAAGTGGTCTGGGTTGTGCCAGTAGGTTGGTAAAATAGGAACACAGAGTGCAGGTGGGAGAACAAGCATGAGGAGTTTAGGCCATGTCATGAGGAGCTTTGTGCACTAGTCACAAATTATCAGTCATCATCCTTCTGTAGATGGGGAGTCACAGAAGTTTTCCAAACCATAGAATGCTCATACTTTTGTTTTGGAATCAAGGGAAAGGCTTGACTGGTAGCAAGTCCAGGTATAGACAGATTAGTTAAAAGCCTGTGTGATGAAAAATGGTGACTGGCCAAATTAGGGTGGTACTTATTTGGATAAAAAAGAAAGACCTGATCAGAGAAAAATGGAAAGAGAATACTATGCTTTTAACTATCTACAATTAAAAAGTGAGGGAGAAGAGGCACCTGGATTTTCTCCCAGATTTCAGGATTGGATAGTTGAGTGAGTGGGAATTAGTTCCCACAATGCAAAAAGGGGGAATTTGGGGGAAGGAGCAAAATAAATTCAGTTTCTGAACTTGTCAAATTTGAAATGCTTGTGGAGACAATTAAACTAAAATGCCCAGTGAGCACTGGGATACAGATAAGTAGAACTGGCATGAGTGGGCTGCGTTGGATATAAGGATTTGGGCATTAGTAACAAAAAGGTGGTAGGAGAGGTTGTGGACAGAAGGAGAGTTTACAGAATGAGTAAAAAAAAGGACCAACGATGAAAAACCCTGTGGAGTATAGACTTTTAAAAGGAGAGAAAAGGAAACCTGAAAAAGAATCATTAGGAGTAAGAATGATGTAATGAAGATCAAGAAATGAGACACTGTGAGGATATTGCATTACTAGTGTTAAGTGCTGCAGAGAGAAACATGATATTTTGCTATCAGCAGGCAAGAAAACATTGGTGTGGGAGGGATAGTTCAAGAAACCAAGACAGAATAGTGATACTCTGGGATTTTGCTGTGAAAGTTATGAACTGGTAAGATAGTAGCTAGAGAGGATTCCAGCAACTAGAGAGAGTTGGTGTGCTCTAGTGTAGATTATGTAGATAGGAGCCTGAGATAGGCTTACAGCCCATTTTTCTCCTTAGAAGGACCCAACAAACAAGGGAAAGGTTGGGAAGAAGAGAATATCATTGATGGAGTCCACGTCAGAGAGGAAAGCAGGGGAAGCCTTCAGAGCACACACAGAATTATCTTGGGCAGACAAAGCTGGTCATCTTTTCTTCTGGGACAAGTAATTATAGAATTTACTGTTTCTCAGGGTTTTCTGGGGTTGTCTGTGGTCTCCTAATCAAAAGGATAGACCCAGATGTTCCTAGCCTTTATAATTATATTTTGATGCCTGGATTCTGACTGAGCCTACAGAAATGAAGTTACTCTCAGTCTTCTCCCAGCCACTCTGCTGGAATCGTATGCAAATATGAAGACAAGAGGCATAACACCCTTTCCATATGGAGCTTACATTCTAATGAGACAGGAAAAAAACAAAAACAAAAAACCAAACAGAAACAAAACCCGCAAGCTTTCACACACACTGATAAGAACGCACAGTTTAAATACAAGAGTGATGTAGACAGTTGTGTTTTAAAAATGGAATAAATTTGCAAGCTGGAATAATTGCAAGCCTAAAAATGGAATAAATTTGCAGCCCAAAGTTCATCAACCTTAAATTGTTGAAAGCCTCTCATGTAGGAAACGATTAAGCAGAGAAGTGAGCCCCAGCCTAACCGTAAGGTATGTACGGCATGATCAAAATTTATGGTAAATGTTTTTAAAATGTTTAATTTACAGTAAAAATACACATTGTCATTAATCCCCATCTGAATACTCCCCCTTGCTTCAAATACACTAATCTCATCATTCTTGCCAGTTTCTGAAGCAATTCTGAAGGTCCTGTGTCTTTATGAGCTATGATAAAAAATCTGAATGCTGCCGCCAAGTGCTATCCAATGGATAGATAGGCAGCCTCTTAAAGACGTTATAGTGTGTGCTGATCCACCTTATTCCCCGGTCTGTCATCTTGGAACTTCCAGCTCTTCCTCAAAGTCAAAATGACCATGAACGGGGGCTGGGGCTTTAGCTCAGTGGTTTCGCTGCCTGCTGCACAAACGCAAGGACCCGAGTTCAATCCCCGGTACCAAAAAAAAAAAGACCATGAAAGGAAAACATTTTGAATTAATTCAGAACATTAAGGTAGCCACAACAACAAAACTAAAGACAGCCACAACAGGAATTCCAAAACTGTTGCAGAAAGTGGCCAAGAACTGTTGCAGAAAGTGGCAAGTAAGTGTATTTGAAGTGAGGGGAGTATGTTGAGAGGGATTAATG